TGCTAAAAATTCTCAAAAATTCGGTATTGACTGAACGTATCTAAAAATAAAAGAGCTATTTATGACAAACCCACAGCAATATCATACTGAATGGGCAAAACTGGAAAATTCCCTTTGAAAACTGGCACAAGACCAGGGATGCCCTCTCTCACCACTCCTATTCAACACAGTGTTGGAAGTTCTGGCTAGGGCAATCAGGCAAGAGAAAGAAATCAAGGGTATTCAGTAGGAAAAGAAGTCAAATTGTCCCTGTTTGCAGATAATGATTGTATATTTAAAAATCCCTTGTCCTCAGCCCAAAATCTCCTTAAGCTGATAAGCAACTTCAAGCAAAGTCTCAGGATACAAATCAATGTGCAAAAATCACAAGCATTCCTATACGCCAGTAACCAGACCAAACAGAGAGTCAAATCATGAATGAACTTCCATTCACAAGTGTCAACAAACACACACACACAGAAGAGAATAAAATAACCTAGGAATCAACCTTACAGGGGATTGTAAAGGACTCTTCAAGGAGAACTACAAACCACTGCTCAGTGAAATAAAAGAGGACACAAACAAATGGAAGAACATACCATGCTCATGGATAGGAAGAATCAATAAACTGTGATTTTTTAAGGCACTTTGCTGTTTGTTACAGCAGCAATAAGAAACTAATATGAGGAGAATTTTTTTTTTTTAGTATCTTGCAAATCTGAAAAATGCCACACAATTGATGCTCTGTCTATATTTAAATTTACAGATTGAAAGTCATTTTCCTGGCATAATCCTCTAACTTATTGTTCTTTTATCCTCTGATTCTTGCTTACTTTAACATTTTTGTTCTAGTTTCTAGAAGATTTCTTCAGCTGTTTTTCACTAGACTGTTGTTGGATAATTTATATCATTATATTTGTACTTTGCATTTTCTCTTCTTCTGTATTCATTTATAACATGAAGTTTTGGTTTCAGGGATGCATTATCTTATTATAGCTCTCTAAGAATCTTAAAGACTTTTTTGAAGTTTCCTTCTGTTCCCCACATTGTCTGTACATGCCTAGATTTTATTTTTAGTCATTTTTTTTGATTTCTATTTTTTTGTTTTTATGTTTTTTATTTCAGAATTATTCCATAAATATCTAATAATCTTTAACTTTCTATCCATTTTGAAATACAGGGATTAAAATGGTGATAGAAAGCCTCATGGTGTCTGAACAGGAATTGTCAAGCATTCAGCTTCATGGTAGAGCAGGGTTTATCATTGGAAGTTTCTCAAACATTTAAAGAAGGAAAGGGACAATAAAGATAAGAATAAATCAATGAAATTAAAAACAAATATGCACTAAAGAAAAGCAACAAGGCCAAAACTAGTTCTTTGCAAAGATTAATAAAATTAATAAGCCTTTAGATAGACTGACCAAGATAAAGAAAAGTACAAATTTCAGAAATGAAAAATGAAACATCACCACAGACACTACAGATTGTAAAGATAATAAGAGGATATTAAGAATAAATATTTATATCAAAATACCTGACATTTTAATTTTTCTTGAAAGATAATTTACCAAAATTAAGAAGTAATAGAATAGCTGAATGATCCTATATTAATTTTGATAGCTTATGTCTGTATTAGTCTACCTAGGATGCTATAATACAATACCACAGAGTGGATGACTTAAACAACTGTAGTTTATTTTCTCACAGTTTTAAAGGCCAAAAGTCCAAGACCAAGGTGCCATCAGTGTTAGTTTCTAGTGAGGCCTCTCTTCGTGGCTTGTAGACCACTGCCTTCTGACCATGTCCTTACAAAGCCTCTTCTCTTATATAGACAGAGCATCAGTTAAGTGTGTGACATTTTTCACATCTGCAAAATACTAAAAAAAAAAAAAATTCACTCTTTCTCCTCATATTAGTTTCTTATTGCTGCTGTAACAGCAAACAAGCAAAGTGATTTAAAACAACACAAAGTTTATTATTTCACAGTTCTAGATATTTTCACAGATAAAATATTTGCGTGTATATGGAGAGAGAGCATGAGCAAGCAAGCTCTCTGGTGTCTGTTCTTATAATGACACCAATCATATTAGAGCCCCCCTCTTTTAGCCTCTTTTAACCTTAATTGTCTCCTCAAAGACTCCATCTCCAAATAAAGTCACATATTGTTAAATGTTAGGGCTTCAACATATGAATTTGGGGTGGGGGCATGATTAGGTCCATTACAGTATCCTTAATTTAAAACTCCCCCATAATTTCAGGTTCAGGTTCAGGGAACATAACTAGCAGTGTCCACCAAACATTTAAGGAAGAAAGGAAGGAATAGTACTGATCTTTCAGCTTTTTAAATTCTTTCAGATAATAGAAAAAACAGAGGCATTTCCCAACTCATTTTTTTTGAGACCATAATAGCCTTAATTCCAAATCTTCACATTATAAGATAGAAAAATTCAGACCAATTTTTCTTATAAACAGTATAATAGCTTATATTATTAGCCTTCCCTTGTCCATTTCTTGTTATATGCATGCCCTTTGTCATATGACATAGTAGAACCTCCAGCTTCATGAGCAGAATATATTTTCCAGCCCCTCGTCCCCTGCTGTTTTCTTGGTGCATTAGTCCATTCTCACATTGCTATAAAGAACTACCGGAGACTGGGTAATTTTAAAGAAAAGAAGTTTAATTGACTCATAGTCCCACAGGCGTACAGGAAGCATGGATGGGGAGGCCTCAGGAAACTCACAATCATGGCAGAAGGTGAAGGGGAAGCAGACGTGTCCTACATGGCTGGAGCAGGAGGAAAAGGGTGAAGGGGGAGGTGCTACACACTTTTAAACAACCAGATCTTGTGAGAAGTCTATCACAAAACAGCACTAGGGGGATGTTGCAAAATCTTTAGACACCACCCCCATGATCCAGTCACCTCCCACCAGGCCCCATCTCCAAAACTGGGGATTCCAACAGTTCAACGTGAGATTTGAGTGGAGATACAGAGTTAAACTGTATGACTTGGTAAAAGTCAGAAGTGAGGTTTGGAGGTGAGGGGAAAAGGGATTGTTTGGCTGAGTCATTTATTTTTGCATTTGGGTGTCTTTCATACCCCAGTTTGGTCGACCAACTCACATTGATGCCTAAGACCCAGCTGATTTCTCTTCATTTCTGCAAAGTTACTGTACCATGGCAGGCCAACGAACATATCAAAGGAAGAGCAGCAGAGCTGGCCCCAAGGTAAGGAGGCTTCCACAGCTTTACGTTCACTTACAAAGTTTATATTTCTCTTGGAGTTTTAGGTAATCAGGGCTCCCAGGTAGAGCTGGCTTTGTTAGTGAAACACCAAGGGTTTGGTCTAGGTCTTGGTGCTTGCTGCATAGATAGCCAATCACTGAGATGAGTATTGCCAAGGAAGAAAGCTTTAATAGGGTGCTGAAGCCAAGGAGATGGGAGCTCTGTCTCAAATCCATCTCCCTGACTAACTAAAATTAGAGTTTTTTAGAGCAGGGAAGAAATGTAACCATGTGTGGGAAAACAGAAATTAGGGAGTGGTGGGGAGGAGGAGTTGGTTAACAGGAAACAGGTGGTCAGTTAGGCAATCATGATGGGCGATGGTAAGGAGTCTAGAGGCTAATTGTCAAGATATAGTGATTTGGTACGTTTTAGTTCCTTGACACTATCTGGGAGGCTTGATGGTTAGTTTTCTGGGAAAGGAACTCAGATAAGACCAATGTAACTTTCTTAAGTTTTAAGACTAGGAGGATTAATTTCTATATTTATTTAAAGAAACCATAAACATTAACTCTATAGGACAATTACGCTTGTTTTCAGCTTCATGGGTTTACAATTTCTGCAGTTGCACAGGGCCTTATGCTGAGAAGTACCATGCATTTGGTCTAATGCTCTGATGTTATTATCTTCAAACTCTTAATAATTTTGAACAAGGGACTCTGAATGTTTACAAGTTATTTAACTGGTCCTGCCTCCTGTCATTCACCACTTTTCACTAATCTCATAGAAAAGTATGATTTTTTTTTTTGTCCAAGTTTGTCTTACTGTTATCATGGAAGTATAGGTGTTTTATATCCTTCTACATCCTACCAAAAGTAGAAATCTATTTAATTTATACTTTACCTTATTTTAATTTTACCCCAAGAGAAACATGGAATTTTTGAAATTAGTTAGAACTTCACTATGCAAGTTTCACTTTCTTAATCCACTTTTCTAATTCCCTTTAATTAAATGTGCATATTACTTGTGGTGCTTTGTACTTGGAGTGGTTTGACAGCCATTACAAGAAAAAAAAAGTCAATACTTAAATTGTTTTCATTAAGTTTAATTCTGTACATTTGTAAATGTATTGCAAGTTCCTTTTAGCCAAACTGCTATACCCGTTATCCCTGAAGATATTATATCATGAGTATTTTTCTGTCTGTAAGCTTTTTGTGCACACCGTCTCTCATATCTCTCACTCTTTTCAATCTGACTAGCTCTAGAGTTCCCTGTTTCCCATAACATTTTCTTCACATCTCTATGCATCTTTGCTTCTGTCTAAACATTTGTTTTCCTTTTTTAAATCTTTATTTTTAATTTTTAAGGGTATATTGTAAGTATATATATATTTATGGCATACATGAGATAACTTTTAGTACATACAGTATATAATAATTATATCAGAGTAAGTGGAGTATCCATCATTTCAAGCATTTATCATTTATTTGTGTTGTAGACATTCCAATTATACTCTTTTATTTATTTCAAAAGGTACAGTAAATTATTGTTGACTATAGTTAGCCAGTTGTTCTATCAAATATTAGATCATATTCATTCTCTCTAGCTCTTTTTATTTGTCTGTTTGTTTAATTTAGAGAGAGTCTCGCTCTGTCACCCAGGCTGGAGTATAGTGGCACAATCTTGGCTCACGGCAACCTCCGCCTCTGGGGTTCAAGCGATTCTCCCATCTCAGCCTCTCGAGTAGCTAGGACACCTGGCTACTTTTTTTGTGTTTTTAGTAGAGACGGGGGTTTTACCACGTTGGCCGGGCTGGTCTCTGGCACTGTTTACCTCAAGCAATCCACCTGCCTTGGCCTCCCAAAGTGCTGGGATTACAGACGTGAGCCACCATGCCTGGACACTCTGTTTTGTTTTGTTTTGTTTTACTTTTTTATGGAGATGGGCTCTTGCTGTGTTGCCCAAGCTGGTCTCAAACTCCTGGGCTCAAGCAGTCCTCCTGTCTTGGCCTCCCAAAGTGTGCTGGTATTAGAGGCATGAGCTACTGTGCTTGACCCTAAACTATATTTTTGTACCCATTGACCATACCCACTTTCCCCTCACTTCCCATTCCCTTCCCGGCCTCTGGCAACCATCATTCTATCTCTATCTCCATGAGTTCAATTGTTTAATTTTTTAACTCTCACTGAATACTCATTTTCTATAATGGTTGTCACATACACTGTTTATCTTCTTCTTGTATTATCAGTTATATATTTTCTTATACTCATCATATATTTAGATGAATGAAATATCCCCCAACTCAAATATGTAATTATTTTTTAGAAATTATTTTCTAAAACATGAACTTGTGATTCTGTAATCTTGGCCACTTTATATATTGATATGAAATATGTGTTTTAATAAATAAAAATGTAATACAATCTTTTCAGTGATATCACCATGGATATTAGGGCATTAGACTTCTGAATTCTTCTTATTTTTGCCTTCTCACTGGATTTTCATTCTCTAGAAGTATTTTTATTATTTTTCAAGTACCTATACATTTCTGACATTCATCTACTCATTTATGCTTTCATTTATGCACACTGCAAGTACTTATTATGCATTGACTATGAACCAGCCACTGTGTGAAACTGTGATTGCACCATAGTTTCTGTCCTCATAGAGATAATCTGCTGTATGTTACCATGGAGAAAACTTTGGGGGATAAGAAAGGCTTGATGGACAAAGTGACTTTTAATTTGTTATTTGAAGTAAGAGTTAAATAGGCCAAGAAAGGATTGGAAGAAGAGGGTTTGGGAAAGGGAGACTTCTAGGCAGAAGAAAGAATGTAGGCAAAGTCTCTAAGGCACAAAGGAGAAAGGTGTGGTCTGGATTAAAATTAGTTTGTCTAATGTTGAATACATTTGAAATCACAAACTACTAAAAATGTGACTTTTTTCTATTAGACTGGAACATCCAAACATTTAAATTTATTTTAACTATGTAACTAGTTAACTTTTTAAAATACTTTATCAGCAAGAACATATTATATTTTTGGCTCTGGATTTATTATAGAGACTATCCATGATAGCCCAAAATATCTTGGAACTCTTTTAGGAATCTGAAATGAGGACCTTAAGCAAGATTCATGAGGAGTTTTTCTCTAGGGCTAGTGTATAAGAGGGAAGCCTATTATAAAATTTGGTTTGGAGGCTAAGAATTTAAACATTTATGTGTGTCCCTTTTCAAAGTGGAGGGATGGTACAAAGTGAACATTTTATGATATCTTCCTGCTCTAAAAATGATAACTTAGAGTATTTTTTCATTTGAGTAAATTATTTGTAAATATTATGAATAGTCTAGTGAGTTAATGCCAATGAACAATATTGATATTACTTTATTAGAAAATGCAAGAACCTCCAAAGAGCATTGAAGAATTCTTAAAGTTTCAAAATTGGGTGAGTAGAGCATCTTATTTTCTGTGCCAATACATCATTTTAAAATATCAGTTATGGAGATGTAGAAGGCTTAGAACAAACTTTAAGACTAGAAATTTCTGAAATATGTTTCAATGTGGAAAGTGTGTATATAAATACTTATGTCCTTTGAGTAGGCTCTATGTTGTAGTCTTTCCCTCTTGTCAACATTCTATTCTCTTTTTCACATTAAAAAAATTCTAGCCCTATACAGACATTTCTATATACTTTTGTTAATGTAAGATTTTTGTCTTATGTATTTACACCTTAAAGAATATCCAACCATTATGCTTACTTACCTCATTTATTTATGCACCACACCTGAGACAGGTAATTTGTAGAGGTGTTACATCAATATTCCCTGATTATTGAATCAGAGTGAAAAATTCAAAATGTGTCTTCCTGTTGAAAGTTCAGTTTCCATTGTTATGTTTAATTATTGACTTCGCCTGGAGTTTTTGGACTCGCTAAGTCTTCCCTTGGATCCATGCACCTGCAAGTGTGAAGGTCATATTTGTTTTGCATTGAGGAATGTCAAGTAAGGGTCAGAATAAACATGTCAGTATAGAAAACAGAGAAAAGATGGCTTTTTAATGAGGTATGTTTGTATTTTGAGTGGATTGGAATATAAATAATCTACATTTATTTATGCTTAAATATAAATAGTGTTTGCTGTGATTAAACTGCTAACAATGTAGTTTCAGAAATAACTACTTTTAAATATATATTTTCTGTTTTTATATTTGTTTAGATAAGATTTTTTTTGTTTTGTTTTTTTTTTTTTGTTTTTACTTTCAATGTTTTGGGAAAGGATTGCGCTTGGATGAAAACATTCCTAGTTACAAAAGTTTACTTCAGTCACATGGTGTAGCTAAGTATGTTGAAATACTTTTAGGACAAACTTTTTGTAACTATTTTTGATTTAAATAATGATGCAAATGTGCTGCAGCCTAATGACAATGTTTCAGGACTTTTTAATGTTTTAAGTTTTAAGTTAAAATTAAGCTAAATTCAGCAAATAATGGAGACTGTATTATTATACATGTTTGAGGACCTATGATTTTAAATAAAAAATTCTAATTATTTGAAGTAGTAAATATGTAATCCCTGTGTTTAAATTGAGAATGATACCAATCAAATCAAGATAATAGGTTTATGCCAGCTCTTCACTAAATATAGGATAAAACCAAATCAAACCATGTCTTATTAATAGTATGTCAGTAGTATCATCTTTGTATGCAAAGGACATATTTATATTTGTATTCAAAGGCTATATTTATAGCCTTCAATTTTTATCAGATAGCATTTGATAAAACAACATATCCATTTGTATCATTTTGTCATTTATAGGTTTATCTGTAAATCTTTTCTTATTGTCTGAATTTCACAACCAAATACTCACATTCTGTAGTTATTTTTTATGGTTTGAGTATGTTTATACGTTGCCAAACTATTGGATATTTGAAAATATTCAGGAATAAAATGACTAGATGTTTAATTTTTTGTTTGCTATACAAAGTCTTTGTCTAACAGACGATGGTAAAAAAAGTAATGACTGCTGGCCGGGCGCGGTGGCTCACGCCTGTAATCCCAGCACTTTGGGAGGCTGAGGCGGGTGGATCATGAAGTCAGGAGATAGAGACCATCTGGCTAACAGGGTGAAACCCCGTCTCTACTAAAAAACACAAAAAAATTAGCCGGGCGTAGTGGCGGGCGCATGTAATCCCAGCTACTCCGGAGGCTAAGGCGGGAGAATGACGTGAACCTGGGAGGCGGAGCTTCCTGTGAGCCGAGATTGCGCTACTGCACTCCAGCCTGGGTGATAGAGCAAGACTCCGTCTCAAAAAAAAAAAAAAAAAAAAAAAAAGAATTCATTTAAGAAATATTTTTGAACACCTGCTATGTGCCAGGCACATAGATGCTTAAGATACATCAGTGAATAAAAACAAGCAAAGATGCCTGCCCTCGTGGAGCTGTTATTCTTTTAGAATTGAAGCATATTATTAATCCAAGCTCTGCTATTAACTAGCATTATAACAGTACTTGCAACCTACATGTTAGCTACTGGTTTCTCTTGTCTTCTACTTAATCTTTTATCATATCATCTAAAGTCTTCTCTTTTTTGCCAGTTCCTACCATTTCTATCTTTTTTGGTAATTTTAATATTTTATATCATCTACTCTCTTTCACCTCTTCCTATCTCCTGTTATACTTCCGTGTTATCTTTTTATCTTCAATTGTTTTTATCCTCTCATTTCTCTGTTGATCATTTCCCACATTCCCTTCACTCCATCACAATTCTGTTTCTAGTTTTATTTTTATAAAAATATTTTTATAGTTTATTTTTATAACTTCTTTTTCCACTATCGTTGTATCAGTGTCAGCTCTCTTACTTATCCTATTCGTTCACTCGTTTAGTTATTTCTGTTCACTACCCACTGTTTGTGCAATATTTTTCTGGACACTGGAGTTACAGCAATGAACAAAGACAAAAATTTCTACTCTTATGGAATCTGTATTATCTTCCTCCTTTTTGTCTCATTTCTCTTTACTATCACACTTTAAAAAACTCTTTTTGGTTCTTCAAGTACTAAAATGTTGATTCCAATTTCTTCCATATTTATTTATTATACTTTTTATTTTTCGTGTTATTTATTTCTGACTACCTTTTTTCTGTGTGCACGCAACTTTTATCTGGTAGAACTTTAATTCATCTTCTCTTAGTTCATCAATGTTAATTTTTGTTAACAGGCCTGTTAGATTTGTAATCTGTATCTGGAGAGTACTCAGATCCATGCTATGATTTTTCTTAGAGGATCAAAATTATTTTATGATAGAGAAAATAATTATTTCAATCCCATTCTCTTTATTGAGGGAATAGCCTGATTTATTTGCTTATTTGTTTATTCATTTATTTATTCATTAATCCATTTAAATCCTTATATCAAAGCTTAATATAAGGGAAGAAGAGCTAAATAATAGTCACTTTTCCTACTAATTCTAGTCATGCTTCTTATTTCTTACCTTTTGTTTGATACTTCAGCATTGTCTCTTGGGCTTTGGGACATGGGTGAAGACTTAACTATATATTCAATAAAAAAAATTCGTCTCTAAACTCCACGAGAGCCCTTTTGTCTGTCTACTCTCCCTTCTCCATCTCTAGTTTTGTATTAGCATATAATAATTTGTGCTTCTGCCACTGCCATAGTTAATTGCAGTAATTAAGATAAACATAACAAAGACATAGCCAGTTCTTGCTTCACTGACCCTGTTTTAAATAAGACAAATGTTCTTCTTACTTATCAGTAAGGACCACAGTACTATAATGTAGAATTTAACTCCATAGGGAACAATAACTTCTAGTCCAATTCTTTTGTTCCTTTGGGATTTGAATACATTTATTTACTTTTAATTAATATAATCACCATAGACTCTGGATGCTCATACTCTAGTAGTAGTGTTGATTTCCTTTCTGGCAGTATGAGCTGCCTGACATCTCATCTGCCTGTTAGCTGCTAGTTGACTCAGTTTGCCTTTTTAGGTCTGGCCACAAAATTTATTTTTTAGATAACACTCTATTCAAGAGGTATCTTACTGAAGGCAAAATATAAAGGAATAAGGAAGTAGGGTAATAGAGAAATGAAATGGGGAAAATAGATTATGATCTGCTATAAGATATGATCTACAATATAATCATCTGGTATCCATTTAATAATACAGCCACAAAGAATTCATTAAAAGAATTTAAAAATCACCTTCTTTGTATTAATGGCTTTGGGATACCAGTCAATCCCTTGATTACCTGGGTAATGTAGAGAAGACAGAGTCTCATCAGCCTTGTAGAATTTCTGGAAACTTTATTCAGCTCATAATATTTCAATATCTTGGGAAAAAGGATTGTGATATCTCAAGCCTGACATAAAGAATACATTTTCATAAAGATTTGTACATATTATAACATCTTTTCAAATTCCTTTTAGCCTCTTCCTACTCTCTCAACTCCCCTAACAACAGCAACACATGACTCATAAGGACTATGTTTTCAAAGTATCTGCCATTCTAAATTGACAGTGTTTGTCTTCAGGGATTTTACCCTGTGACCTTTTCTTATTCTTCAAAGTCTTTTAAATTTTTGACACAGTTTTCCACATTTCAGTGCTGGAAAACTTTCCCAAGTGGCTATGCGTCTTATTTAAGATACACATTTACAGGATTTGAAAGAGGGCACTTACGTATTTATATAACACTCTTTTTTTCAAAATGACAGAGGGACCTTTTTGGAAAAGTTTTTCAGTGTTAAACACCGGGTATTATTTTCATATCTTACTGTTAGCACAGTTAATAAATGAACATGTGTATGATGAGTTTAGGATTGCTTTTAAAGGAAGAGAAAAGGAGATGGCACAGCCCTAGGTGGGTTTGAAATTTCTGATCTGCAGACTTCAGATTTCTTCCTCTTAAGCTAAGTCCCCAGTGTATTTTACCCAAACTCCATTGCAGAGTTTCATCCTACACAAGTCTTCCACCATTCCAAAACGTATTCTCTTATTCATAAGCTTTTAATTATGTTGACTAACTTTCTTTGTTTTGCTATTATTTGATTATATTAAAAGATCTTATACTTAGATTTGCAAATATTAATGTTGTGGTTCCACTTCCCTTCTTCTCTTCATTTCCCTTGTTTCCCTTTGATTCCATCTCCTTCCTTTCCTAAACAATTTAGTATTAAAGCCATTTGGCGGCCACACAAGGCAGGCTTCCACATTGAGAAAGAAGGGTTTGCTGTGGTGGCCCTGAGCAAGATTTCTGAGTCCAACAATGGTGAGGAGGATGTCCATGTGACACCACAGGTATCAGAATCCAAGGGAATGATGATGATATTCATACATAAAGGGAGAAGAGGAAGGTAGCCTTCACTCTGATGTGGGAGGTCAGAGATCAAGTGGGGGTAAGGAGGATGTCCTCGCAGAATTGGCAACCTAACATGGAGTATTAGAGCCCAAGTAGTATGAAAAGGGTATCCACGTAGGGAAGAGTCTGGGAGCAAATATGAGAGATTGGTTACATAAAAGGATTGATCAAATGAGTAAATGTATTAAAGATAATGGCAGCTAGGTTTTTAATTGTTAGGGATGGCAATTATAATATGGAAAGAGAGAAAACTAGAATGGTTAGAATTGGAATTAGAGGCATCAGTGTGAACTCATGGCTTTGAATATATAAAAGTAAAAAAAAAAAAAGAAAGAAAGAAAAAGAAAAAGACTGAGGAGGAATGACTCCAGGAAGATGGCAAAATAGCCTTTATCCCTTTGCAGAAATATCAATTTGAACAACTATCTTTGCAAGAAAAAGACCTTTATAAGAGCTAAGGAATCCAGCTGAGATATTACTAGCCTTCACTATATGGGAGTCCTAGGCGTAGCACAGAAATAAGAAAAGATACCTTGAAGAGGTTAGGAAGGATATTTTCAAGTTACCAAGCAAGGGCAAAACAGTGTGGAGAGAGATACTTTTCATGTGGGAAAGGGAAAGGAGAATGAACTGAGCACATAACTTTGCCATGGATCCCAGCTTATGTAAAAAATAAGCCAGGCACCAAAAGGAAACTGTGTCATGATCTCACTTATAAGTGGAATGTATAAAAATGGAACTCATAGGAGCAGAAAGTAGAATGGAGTCTTACTGGGGCTTGTGAAAGAAAAGGAGAAATGGATTAAAGGGTGGGAAGTTTCAGACAGAATAGATAAATTCTGGGGATCAATTGGTCAGCATGATGATCATAGTTAATAATAATGTATTGTGTACTTGAAAATTGCTAAAAGAGTGGATCTTAAATGTTCTCAACACACACGTTAACTGTGCGAGGTGATGGATATGTTAATTACCTTTTTGGTAGTCATTGCACAGTGTATACATTTATCGAAGCTTCATATTGTGCACCATAAATATTTAAAATTTTATGCTTTAATAAAACTAGAAAATAAATGAAAATAAATTAAAATTATCTCTTCTAATCTTCTCCCTTCACATCCCCACAGATACTATGGAACAGTCGTAGACTGAAAGGGACCAAAGAGACATGAAGTCAAAACCTAACATTTTTATTCTGAACTAGATTCTTTTGCTATAAAGGGCATAATTGGTTCCACTGAAACTTGAGTAGAGTCTTTGTATTAAATATAAATAATGTATCAGTGCCAATTTCCTGATTTTAATGGTTGCATTTATTATATAGGAGAATGTTTTTGGTTTTCGGAACTATACACTGAAGTTTTAAAGGATGATGGGCTATCATATAAGCAAATTATTCTGAAATGATTCAGGAAAATAGTTTTAGTAAAGCACTTGTAACTTTTATGATATTTGTGGTTGTTTCAAATTTTTAAAAAGTAATTTAAAAACAATTCTGTGGAATAAAATCTCAATTATAGCTCATTGGTTTTGAACTCTATTATTTAAATTCATTAAAAATGACTTAAGCTGTATTCTCTCTTTCACATTTTTTGCAGGATTGTTGGCCAAGGGAAATCCATTTTAGAGATGATGATGAATGGTCATGCACTCTGAAAAAAATAAAAGAAGATAGTTCATTTGTTTCAATTTATACACACCTATGGGAAAATGTTCCTCGAATATTTGAAGCACTTTTGATCATGGAATCAAAATTAAAGGAATATTCACTTATTTTGCAAAACCACACCTCTAAAATATTTAAGTGGAAAAGCATGATTTCTGAGACAAGTGAGCCTTATTTATTTTTATCTTTTATAGAAATGGAGTCTCACTATGTTTCCCAGGCTGGTCTCCAAATCTTGGCCTCGAGTGATCCTCCTGAGTCACCCTCCAAAAGTGTTGGAATTACAAGCATAAGCCAGTGCACTTGGCCAGTCCTTATTTTTTGTATTAGTAAAGTAATGGTTGGTCAGTTGTCTGTGTGTGTGTGTGTTTGTGTGTAATCTCATAAATAATGAAATTCCAAGGTATAAAATAAATTTTAAAAATATCTTATTTTAAAACCTCTTCATTTCAAAATGGTTCAATACAGATTTTTATAGTTGAACATAAATATGTGGTTTCAAAGGAAGTATTACTAAAACAAAGCCTTAAAACAGTTGTTAAACTGTTAAGCTTTTGTTAAAGTGGAGTGGAGGTACAGAGTATTACAAAAACAGGAGAGCAAGATTGCATCAATTAATATTCCTACTGGAAACAAACATATCAGCAAGGGTCAGGATAGAACAGAAATATCTAAAACTGAAAGTAAAAGGGGTGATAGTTAACCTATATGGACTCGCAGGCTAGTTTGTAGGAGTCGCTGGTATTCACTATGGAATAACTGCATGAATGACAAAGCGTACAGCAAGTAATGATAATTTTTACTTTTCGATATTTGTATAACATTTTTCTTATCTAATTGTATGAGCATTTCCAGAATAGTTTTAAATACTTATTCTTGTCTTATTCGTGATTTAATGGGCAAATTTGTCATATAGATGTCTTGAAAATGATATTAATTGTACTTATAAAGTATTTTTAGATATCAAATTAGATTCATTATGTTATTTTGGTATTTAATATTCTTTTTTGGACTTTGATTTGTGTAATTCTGAAGATGTGTTTAAATACACTTCAAAATTAACTTTTTAAATTTTTGTATTTAAATTATACATTTTTAAAATTTTATATTTTTTAATGTATAAAAGTTATATATAGCTTCTGTGTATGTATATATAAATACACACACGTGTATATCTTGTATACACACATACAGACATCCGTGTGTGCATATAAATTCATCTCGTAATGAAATAAAATATACACAAGCAAAGTGTGAACATATCCTTTTATATCTTCCTCCTGTTTTCTAGAAAAGGTAATGTTTTATATACGTATTGTCCTCAATATGTAGATATCAGAACTTGGATTCAAGTCTATCTAGGTTATCTGACTTCAGAGCCCCCCCATATTGTCTCACTGGGCCATGCTCCACAGTACTGCACTTTATTGAAATTAAGGTGACCATGAAACAACCAAGTGTAAGTGGCTGAGCTATTTGAAAAATGTGGACTTTTTTAGGAGAGAGGGGTTGACGTAAAACTTTAGACATAGGAGTAAGTGCCACAGACATGGTAGTTGGAACATGATATTTCAGAAAAATGAAACAAGATATACTTTATATAATAATTCCAATTATTAATTCAGCTAACAGTGTGTATTAACATATGCTTATCAAAATTGCTAATTGATTTCATTGAATAATTTTGTATATAATTTATTTAAAGTATTTAAAATTTTGTTTATTTTTTGAGGAGGTACATATATATAATATACTGTGAATTCTTGTTTTCTTAAAGGTTCTTATAGAAAATTGGAAAGATATGGGGAATTTCTAAAGAAGTACCATAAGAAAAAAAAGATAATGGTAATGTATCTATGTTTTTATCATCTTTGAAAATTGGATTTTCACAGAAAATATAAACACTACATTTCCACAGATGAACACTGATAACATTTTTGTAAATGTCCTTTTAGTCTACTGTTACCAATCTATCATCTATCTCTATGTTTTAAAGATAGCTGTGCTTACCTTCTTTTCATACTCAGTATTATTGAGTATTGGCATCTTCACATAACTACAAGTTATTTGAAGACTTATTTCAAGGTATACTATTCCATTTTTTGGTTATTTAATAATTTATATCATACTTAGTAGTGCAGGTCCCCTATCAGCCCTCTTCTTTTGAAAATTAATTCTTTTTGATGACCTTTAGATTACTTTGCCAATTTTAAAAATCTTTGAGATTTTGATAAAAATGGCAAGTCTTTTGAATTACTTTTAGATACTTAGTCTTTTTAAAAATATGTTCTAAAATTATATAATGTTAGAGCTAGAAAAACTGTGTGTCACCATTGGTCTAGCCATCTCATTTAATGCTTTATTTTTAAAAATTTAACTTCTATTTTCAGTTCAGGGGTACATGTGCAGGTTTGTTATATAAATAAACTTGTGACATGTGGGTTTGTTGTACAGATTATTTTGTCACCCAGGTGTTAAACTTAGTGGCCATTAGTTATTTTTCCTGATTTTCTGCCTCCCCCTGCCATCCACCCTTCAATAGGCCCCAGTGTCTGTTGTTCCCCTCTGTGAGTTCATGTGTTCTCATAATTTAGCTCCCACTTATAAGTGAGAGCATGCAGTATTTGTTTTTCTGTTCCTGCATTAGTTTGCTAAGGATAATGGCCTCCAGCTGGATCCGTATACCTGCAAAGGACATGATCTTGTTGTTTCTTAGGGCTGCATAGTATTCCATGGTGTATATATACCACATTTTCTTTATGCCGTCAACCACTGATGGGCATTTGGGTTGATTCCATGCTTTTGCTATTGTGAATAGTGCTGCAGTGAACATATATATACATGTGTCTTTATGGTAGAATGATATATATTCCTTTTGAGTTCTTTCAGAAATCATCAAACTGCTTCCCATGGTGGCTGAACTAATTTATATTCCCACGAGCTGTGTATTATAAGCATTCCCTTTTCTCTACAACCTCATCAGCTTCTGTTATTTTTTGACTTTTTAATAATAGTTATTCTGATGGGTGCGAGATGGTATCTCATTGTGGTTTTGACTTGCACTTCTCTAATCAGTGATGTTGAGCTTTTTTCATGTTTGTTGGCTGCATATATGTTTTCTTTTGAAAGTTGTTAGTTCCTGCCTTTTGCCCACTTTTTAATGGGGTTATGTGCTTTTTTCTAGTTAAGTTCCATATGAGTTTTGGATATTAGACCTTTGTAAGATGCGTAGTTTGAAAAGATTTTCTCCCATTCTGTAGGTTGGTTGTTTACTCTGTTGGTAATTTATTTTGCTATGCAGAAGCTCTTTAGTTCAATTGGATCCTATTTGTCAATTTTTGCTTTTGTTGCAATTGCATTTGGCATCTTTGTCATGAAATCTTTGCCCATACCTACGTCCAGAATGGTATGACCTAGGTTGTCTTCCAGGGTTTTCATAGTTTTGGGTTTTACATTTTGATCTTTAATCTATCTTGAGTTAACTTTTGTATAAGGTGCAAGAAAAGGGTTCAGTTTCAATCTTCTGCATATGGCTAGCCAGTTATCCCAGCACTATTTATTGAATAGAGAGTCCTTTTCCCATTGCTGGTTTTTGTTGGCTTTGTCAAAGATCAGATAGTTGTAGATATGTGGCCTTATTTATGGGTTCTTTATTCTGTTCCATTGGTCTATGTGTCTGTTTTTGTACCAGTTCCATGCTGTTTGGGTGGCTGTAGCCCTGTAGTTTATAATAGTTTGTAGTTAAGTAGCATGAACAGCTTTGTTGTTTTTGCTTAGGATTGTCTTGGGTATTTGAGCTCTTTTTTTGGTTCCATATGAATTTAAAAATAGCCTTTTCTAGTTCTGTGAAGAATGTGATTGGTAGTGTAATAGGAATGGCATTGAATCTACAAATTGCTTTGGGCAGTGTGGTCATTTTAATGATACTTATTCTTCCTGTTCACGAGCATGGAATATTTTTCCATTTGTTTGTGTCATCTCTGATTTCTTTGAGAAGTGTTTTGTAGTTCTTGTAGAGATCTTTCACCTCCCTGGTAAGCAGTATTCCTAGATATTTTTGTGTGTCTGTGGCAGTCGTGAATGAGATTGTGTTTCTGATTTGGCTCTTGGCTTGACTGTTGTTGTTATATAGGAGTACTAGTGATTTTTATACATTAATTTTGTATCCTGAGACTTCGCTGAAGTTGTTTATCAGCTTAAGGAGCCTTTGAGACTATGGGGTTTTCTAGGTATAGGATCATGTTATCTGAAAACAGGGTGTTATGACTTCCTTTCTATTTCTATTTGGACTTCTAAAAGGAAGTCTATTGGACTTCCTTTCTTTATTTCTTTCTGTTGCCTGATAGCTCTGACTAAGGCTTCCAATACTACGTTCAATAGAAGTGGTGAGAGAGGGCATCCTTGTCTTGTGCCGGTTTTCAAGGGGAATGCTTCCAGCTTTTGCCCATTTATTATGACATTGGCTGTAAGTTTGTCATAGATGGCTATTATTATTTTGAGGTATATACCTTCAATATGTAGTTTAATGAGAGTTTTTCACATGAAAGGGTGTTGAATTTTATCAAAAGCCTTTTCTGCATCTATTGAGGTAATCATGTAGATTTTTATTTTAGTTTTATTTACGTGATGAATCACATTTATTGATTTGCATATGTTGATCCAACTTTGCATCCCAAGGATAAAGCCTACTTGATTGTGGTGGATAGGCTTTTTGATGTACTGCTGGATTCAATTTGCCAGTATTTTGTTGACGATTTTCGCATCAATGTTCATCAAGAATATTGGCCTGTAGTTCTCTTTTTTTGTTGTATCTCTGCCAGGTTTTAGTAATAGGATGATGCTGGCCTCATAGAATGAGTTAGGGAGGAGTCCTTCCTTAATTTTTTGGAATAGTTTCAGCAGGTATGGTATCAGCTCTTCTTTGTACATCTGGTAGAATTCAGTTGTGAATCTTTCTGGTCCTGGGCTTTAATAGGTTGATAGGCTATTTATTACTGATTCAATTTCAGACCTCATTATTGGTCTGTTCAGGGATTCAGTTTCTTTTTGGCTCAGTCTTGGGAGAGTTATCAGTTTCTTCCAGATTTTCTAGTTTATGTGCACGGAGGCGTTTATAGTATTCTCTGATGGTTGTATTTCTGTGGGGTCAGTGGTGATATCCCCCTTATCATTTCTTTTTTATGTTTTTGCAAAATGAAAGCAAGTTCATTTAAAAAGTAAAGGGATGAAAAAATGGCTACTCCATAGACAGAGCAGCCCAAAGGACTGCTGGTTGCCCATTTTTATGGTTATTTTTTATTATATGCTAAACAAGGGGTGGATTATTCAAGCCTCCCCTTTTTAGACCAAAAAGGGTAACTTCCTGACATTGCCATGTCATTTGTAAACTGTCATGGCACTGGTGGGAGTGTAGCAGTGAGGATGACTTGAGGTTGGTCACTCTTGTCGCCATTTTGGTTTTGGTGGGTTTTGGCTGCCTCCTTTACTGCAACCTGTTTTATCAGCAAGGTCTTTATGATCTGTAAACTTTTGTTCTGACCTCCTATTCCCTTATCATTTCTGATTGTGTTTATTTGATTCTTCTCTCTTTTCCTCTTTATTAGTCTAGCTAGCAGTCTATTTTGTTTATTAAAAAAAAAACAAAAAACAGAGTTGTCCTGGATTTGTTGATCTTTTTAATGTTTTTTTGTGCCTCAGTCTCCTTCAGTTCAGCTCTGATTTTGGTTATTTTTTGTCTTCTGCTAGCTTTGGGATCGGTTTTCTTTTGGTTCCCTGGTTCTTTTAGTTGTGATGTTAGGTGGTTAACTTCAGATCTTTTTTGACTTTTCAATGTCAGCATTTAGTGATATAAATTTCCCTCTTAACACTGCCTTAGCTGTGTCCCAGAGATTCTGGTATGTTATATCTTTGTTCTCATTAGTTTCGAAGGACTGCTTGATTTCTGCCTTAATTCCATTTTTTTTTTCCTAAAAGTCATTCAGTAGCAGGTTATTCAATTTCCATGTAATTGTATAGTTTTGAGTGAATTTCTTAGTCTTGATTTCTAATTTGATTGCTGTGTAGTCCAAGAGACTGTCATGAATTCAGTTCTTTTGCATTTGCTGAGGAGTGTTTTACTTCCAATTATGTGATCGATTTTAGAGTATTTCCCATGTGGGCAATGAGAATGTGCATTCTATTATTTTGGAGTGGTGAGTTCTGTAGATGTCTACCAGGTCCATTTGACCCAGTGCTGGGTTTAGGTCCTGAATACCTTTGTTAATTTTCTGCCTCAGTGATCTGTCCTAATACTGTCAGTGGGCTGTTAAAAGTCTTCCAGTATTACTGTATGGAAGTCTAAGTCTCTTTGAAGGTCTCTAAGAGCTTACTTTATGAATCTGGTTGCTCCTGTTTTGGGTGCATACATATTTAGAATAGTTCGGTCTTCTTGTTGAATTGAGACTTTTACCGTTATGTAATTCCCTTGTCTTTTTTGATTTTTTGGTTTAAAGTCTGTTTTGTCTGAAATTAGGATTGCAACTCCTGCTTTTTTCTGTTTCTCAGTTTCTTGGTAAATTTTTCTCCATTTCTTTACTTTGAGCCTATGTGTGTCATTGCATGCAAGATGGGTCTCTTGAAGATAGCATACTAATGCATCTTGGTTCTTTATCCAGCTTTCCACTCTGTGCCTTTTAATGGGGGCATTTAGCCCCCATTTACATTCAAGGTTAGTATTGATATGTGTTGATTTGATCCTGTCATCATGATGTTAGCTGGTTATTATGCAGATTTGTTTGTTTGCTTTATAGTGTCACTGGTGTATGTACTGCAAGCAGGTGCAGCCAGGCTGGGGCCCTGGGAGAGGC